CTTCATTTCACTGCTAAAACTTAAAATCACTTAAATATATAAACAGAATTATATGGAGTTCTGCATCAAGACACAGTGGTATATGGTTGGAAAATATGAAAAACAGAATTGACAAAAACAGCTTTACAGTAATTTGACAATTGCAGCAGATTTATAAAGTAAAGAGATAGAGAGCATTAGTAGAAGTTTGAGGCCAGTAAAACACCCCCCAATTCAAACAACACACGCTGTCTCTGGCAAGTGCGATAGCAAAAACTGTGTTAACATGGTCAACAGAGATTACTGGGTTATTTCCATAAGGCAGCAAATTGGATTTTAAGTTTAATATCTGAATCCGCAGAATAGCAAAATCCCTTAGTACTGAGTAATTAAGACCAGCCACCAACAGACAGACACACTGTGCTCTAAACAAACCATCTGACATAGTCACACTTTCAATCATCGCAACATTCAAATTAGAATTGAATTTAAGTACGAAATTACTCAGTCAAAATTGGTCCATATTAAACTTTGTGACAATTTGCTATTTTCTTGGACTAATCAATAATCAAATGTTTAAATAATTTTTTTTCCTTTTTTTTTTTGTTAATTTGGAAATTGTGACCATTTAAGATAATTGGTGCTATCTGTTATAAAGTTCTGAGGCTTGGGAATGGTTGATTTTTATAAGAAGCATATTTATAACGAGTGTAGTCCGTTACATTTATAATCACACCATGCAAGTTTTAATAAGAACATGGGAGGCTTTACATAGCATATGTACCTGTCGAAGTCGGAAATGAAATTTTGTGAGGCATTGTCCCTAGATTAAATAGAAATAGGTCTTATAATTATTTACAATTGCAGAACTGTCTTAAGTTAAGGCACAAATAACATAAGGGGATAAGAGGTACTGACCATGTGTGAAAATTAATTAGGGGAAAAACAGGTCATGATCATATACATTACTCTCGGATTCATCAAACATATTGGTATACACATTCTTAATAATTTTTTGAATCATAAGGCAGAATTGATTCAAATAAAATTTCTTTAAAAATTCTATCAAAAAAAAAAAATAAAAAAATCAATCAATCAAAAACATGAAATATGTTGAAAAAGAAGAAATTCCAACCAAAACCAATCAATTGATTTATGTATGTTATAACGAGAAAAAATTATGCATGATATAATGCATGTGTACAAGTCAAATCAGTGGGCAGGGATGTGTAATTTGTAATTCAAACACTGACAAGTAGGTTGTAGCACATGCCTCTAGTGAATAAGTGTGGACATTGTTTTAAATTCTTACTGAATGAATCATGCATACAAAACAACTTTACTTTCATTCCAAACAAATCCTGTTTGAATTGCAACAAATTCATTAAAGGAAACATCGTTAATAACCGACATCTTCTAAAGTCCAAAATGATACACAAAAATTCTCATTTGAAATAGATTTAGACACTGTGAACAGTAAGGGAAAAAAATATTACCAACATTCCATTTCCATATACCTAGCCCAGTGATTTATTTTATTCTTTAAGGTCTATTTAAGATCAGTTGCCTCCCCTTACCTTACGCATCCCATGGTCACCTTAAATTCCTCCCCGATCTAATATTCCCAAACAACACTGTCTTAGTCCACTGTAACTTTACATACACGCATGAATGAATCAGCTGTCACTGTGTAATGCAAGGTCATGCTGCCATTAATGCTCAAATGTTTTATCTTAATATATCCTCTCTCTAAACAAATTATATCACTCAACCCTCAAATGACACCATATGAATTCAAAATGGGTTCCTAGTTTTTATGGATAATTTTATTAAAATTGGGTCTCTCGAATGCACACAATTAGAATTTCTCCAACAGGCACGAGGGTTTAACAATGCCATCGGAGTCTATTTACACAAATACTTTAACTATTGGGTAATTTGTTCTTCAAACAGTGCACATTCCAAAATTCTTTATTTGTCAAGTTAAAAAGTTATCAAAAAGGCCTTAATAACATCAAAGAATGCAGTTAAATCCCTAAGCTTGGGAACTTTAAAAAGAAAAATTCTGCTATTTTTTCTCATTTTTTTAAAACACAAATTTTGAGCAAGAGTCTCAAACTATCGAATATTTAAATTTGATCTACAAATTTACTCAGATATGTACACTTTCTGCCTTTACATCTTTTTATGACAAATTTGCACCAGTTAACATATGATAAACATGGTTAAGCCAAGTGAACATGAACTGGTTACCATCCCATCTTGCTACTTCCATTCTTTATGTATAGCAATTTATACATCACACTCTTCGTCACTTCATTAACTTAGAGTATATCACCACTGTTTCTTAACAACCATCAAACATTTGTTATTTCAGAATTTAAACAAATCTAATACAATTACATGCGATGTATGAAGAGTTAAGGGGGTAGGGGGCTACTCTAATTTACACTACAATATCTGCACTACTTTAAACCCCTCTAATTGAACCTCTCTAAATTCTACCCCCAGTCTACAAAATGTGTGTCATTTCTAAAATGGTGCATCAGTCTTTGTCAATTTTAGTTGCTTATCTCCTCATGCAGACTTATGCTATAGTTAAAACAGTTTACAGAAACTGGTAAATCATGCCTTTTGGGGGGAGGGGTGGACACTTATTAATGGTCAGCGGAGAGTGGAGTGAAGAGGTGCAGGTTTAAAATCAGTGGGGAGTAAAATAGGTATACATCTGTACAAATGAGGGATTAATTCTTATCCTCAAGATTTGCCATTCAATATCATTAAAAGGAAGCAGAATAATATATCTGTAGAAAATGTGTGGGGGGGGGGTGTTCTTTTGTTTGTTTGTTTTTGTTTTGTTTTAAATGAGTAGATCATTACAAAATGTGATGAACAATTGAAATCCTAAAGTTTGCTTTGAGATTTAAAAAACTTTGACAAATGATGGAGAGAGGAAAGGCTTTTTCACTGGCTGAAATAACCCGAAATCTGCATCAGAACTGGATCTGGAGTAAGTCCCCTTGGTTTAACCTGATTTCAGGTGTCTACATCTTGCCTTCCCATATATATCTAGTCCCCTCCTGCAATACCATTCCTAATATTAACTTTGATTCTGCAGATAGAATTCCTTACTGCCTACATAGATTTTACTGAAGGTGGGCAGCAGAATTAGATGGGGTCCAAATGAAAAACAAGTTAAACTGGTGTCAACAGATTCGTTAAGTAGGCATGGTTAAACATAGGTCAAACTGTGAGCAGTAGATTAAGTCCCTCCAAGTGACCATATATTATTAAGAGAGGCTTTTTTATACTTCATACATATATAGATTTCTAAAAATATTTTTCCTAAAAGAAACATATTTTTTATGAAGAAAAAGCTATTAAAAAATCACAATCATCACGGCTGGTAATGAAATGTATACACTAGAGAGAGCAGTCAAACAAAGCTAAGCGTTACTATAAATAACTTTGCCAAACTCCCAAGCCAGGTAGTCTAAATTTCAGAGCATTTATCAAGAGGGCAACAGTCACAGGAAATACAACACCATATAGGACTATCATATGATAATTCTGATGATCTTTCATTTTCAAAACGTTAGCATACTTTTTTGCAGATCACTTTTTTCCTTATTACTTTTTCTTATCCTTGAGTTGAGAAGGGTGCATCCATAAATAAGGATTACATTTAACTCAAGGTTATTTTAAAGTTTTTGAGTTCCCTCCCTTGAAGTTATTTTCCAGTCTCGTACAACCTGTGACTTTGACCCCTATTAAATGCACTGATATGATTACATAAGTACAAAAAAATATAAGGAACCTTGTGGAATCACTCCGGCTGAAAATAACATACACAAGAAAAGGTATATAGTTTCTCTCTAAGATCAGTGTCACTTTAACAGGTTTTTATTTTAGACAAAAACCTTCAACAGTCAAACCTAGTTATCTCAAACTTGATGGGACTGAGAATAAACTTTGAGATATCCAAGGATTTAAAATATCAGAGGTAATATAAATGAAGAATAAATAAAAAGGGATTTTGAAATCACTTCAACATATCCAAGGTATTCAAGATATTGGTTTTTGAGATACCAAAGTTCAACTGTATATATAGTATATAAATGTAAGTATAATCATTTTTTTAGTGCAGTTTTTCTCAGTGTTACTTAAAAATATTCTCTCATTTCAGTGTTTTCCCTAAGAACCGGCTATCGGCAAAATTGACTGCTTCAACTGACAAAAATGCCGCTTTGAAATAAAAATTTGTTGTAAGGTCCACAGAGATTCTGTTCATAAACCTCAGCTCATAGCCTGTTACAACTGATCTCTATCCTTTTACACTTAAATAAAGGGAAAACACTGCGTTTATGTAACCATGATTAAAGTATTCATGCATATACTAGTTTGATAGCATGAAATAACAAAACTGGTTTCTTAATCTCATTAAAGTGTCAAAACTAAACTATACATGTATGTGTAAATGGTATAAAGATTGAGTAACAAATGAACAGAAATAATATTACAAAATTCAATGTTCCTATTGTGCTTTTGCCTAGAATTGCATATGCTGTACATGTATATACAGTGTATGTAATTGATAAATAAAAAAGAAAATTTGAATTGCAAATCACAATTGAAAGAAACAAAATAAACATATAAAAGCGTGCAGTTTTTAATAAAATCATGCATAAATTGAAAGGAAAATTTTATGAACATTTGCACCCCAAAAGTTATTTTTAAAAATGCAACAATGTGAAAAAATTCTACAAAAACTATCAAAATAATCAGGATAATATTCTAGTCAACACAGAAGGGAGAAAAGACAAACTGCACTATCATAAAAACTGCCAAATTATCAATTGATTAAAAGTCTTTCCATGTTTTCATGCTTTAAAAAAAATCAAATCAGAGGCCTGTTCAACAAAGCGAGTACTTGCAAACTTTACTATTGAGGGTACAAGGAATTTTAGCGAGTGCTCTCGAACGTTCGCTCTGTTGGACAGGCCTCTGATATTGTACATATGATAAGTTATGAAGGCTTTCCTATCTATAGTATGGACCAGGCCCCTTCTCACACCGTTATCTATCATATGATTTATCATAAGAGCCACATACCTCCTCTTCTGGTGGTGTGGCCGGGTGGGGATCACTTCGTTCTGCGAGTCCTTCAGGTCTTTTTTCTATAGGGAAATGAAACAGATTCTTAAAATTCAGAATTTTCTCCAGCACATTGTAGAAATTTCAGTATTCATTTGTATATTACCTCAAAATTTCATTCCTGCATGTTTAATCATGTTTAACATATTTATTCATAAGTGATATATGTGAATTCTTTAAACTTGTAATTTTCGACCGATGAAAATATTGCTCAATGATTTTGAAAGCCCTACATCAGAAACTGATGAACATGAATAAGACTGGTTTACTTACAGATTCCTGTTTCTTTTCGAGTTCTTCTAAAAGTTTGAGTATATCTGAGTCTGCCACATCATATGCAGTCTGTCCCTGTAAAATAAACCAATCAAGAATTCTTATGAACCAGATGAAGAGTCAGTGTATACAGTATTCCTCGTCTACACTGCAGTAATCTCACTGAGTGAATCGTAAAAATTAAGATACCAAAATAAGCCTAGTAGATGGTTATACAATACAAGTCAGTGGTAGTCAAACAGGCTAGTCAAATTTACATACATATACGTATATTATTTGGAAAATTTTTAAAGCTTAATGAAATAATCCATGACCAAATGAACTTTCATTTATCCTGTTTATCTCTGACTTTCTCTCTTAATGATCTATCCTTAAACTTGATGCAAAATCATTGATGCTTTTTTTCTGCATTAAAGATAATACCCAATCACACAGTTAGTCAGTGCTGAATGTTAACTTACAGCATTGTTTTTGATCTGTATACACTTACAGCATTGTTTTTGATCTGTATACACTTACAGCATTGTTTTTGATCTGTTTACACTTACAGCATTGTTTTTGATCTGTTTACACTTACAGCATTGTTTTTGATCTGTTTACACTTACAGCATTGTTTTTGATCTGCATGTCACACATGTGGTCCACCAGGACTTTACAGGCCTCCTCCTGACCCCAGTGAGCGGCGGCATGGAGGGGGGTCCATCCATCGTAATCCTGAGAGTTCACATCCGCCCCAGCCTTCAACAGGATACTGAAACAAGCAAAAAATGTGTTTTCTGTTGCATTCTACTTTTGTTCAGAATGAATTTTTATTTTTTCAAATAAATTGCCAAAATTCTAATGTATTTTTGATTTTTTTTCTATGTCAGATATACAAATTTGGGCCATCCATATCATAATACAGAAACATTTTGATGAAAAACAAAATATTAAGTCCTTTAATAGTACAAGGTATGTACAACAGTAATTTAACACACAGTCTAGGTCTTCTTCTGACTGACTATACAGATTTATAACTCACTTGATGACCTTCATGTAGCCCTTGGCGGCGGCCACATGGAGGGCGGTGGCTCCAGTTTTGGGGTGCTTCTTCTCCTTGACAGACTTGTTGTTCAGCCATTTGTTGGCGTCCTGTAACATCTGGTTTTCCTCCTCTGACCTGGCTACATCAGCATCCACTCCTGTAAAACCAAACAGGGGACACCATTCAGACAATGCCTCATGATATGTTACATAGTTATTACTTCAATTCTCATAGGTTTAAAATTGTTAATGTGATATATATATATTCAAGAAATCACTGTCTACTATATTGGGTATACCTAAGCATCAAGGATAGTTGGAAACATGTGATAATTTGCATAACTGTTGAATCTTAACTATTTCAACACATAATAATCATGTGAATACCAACGAGATATCAAAACTATTGACAAAAACCAAACCAATTCTAACTTTAAATTTCAATACTCAAAATCCAGTGAGTAATCTTTTCTGTGCTACCTTTACAACAGAGCAACCTAATTTATATCATAATTAGCTTTCTTCATACATTTATCTTTTAATTAGTTCTACAAAAGCAAAATTAAATTTCAAATTTTTATATACATTTTTTTTTTGCTGTATAATTACAATTATAAACCATTCAACAGGTGCGTTTTTTTTAAATTAATGTTTTGTCAATAATATGTAAGTGGTAAGACTGAGAAGATAGCCTGACTGACAGAGCACTTGTTACAGGAAGTGTGAAGAACGGGGATAAACTGTTTACACAGGAAAATCATCCCCGACAATTAAACCGGCTGAGTAGAAGTAACACAGTCACAAAAGTACAAAGGTAGTAAATCCATCGCACAGGATTTGTTATTTAGTCAAATATATTGTTTATCATTTATACAAAGATTATGTAATGCAGCAGTATGAAAAAAATATGCTAAATATCATACTTCACCTTTAAAGGATTTTATTGTATGGTGTTCATGGTTTTAGAGTGAAACATTTTTTTTTAGTTTGAATGCAAAACTTGTGTGTCTTAAAAGACTCCCAGTCATCAAATAGTACTGTTATTTCTAAGAGAGACCAATGTCTACATAGAAATATAAACTCCTTTTTAAATCATGTAAAAAGTTACAGAATTCGGGCCCACTTTACAAAAGAATGTTTGACTAAGACTAAAAAATCTTTTGATAAAATTTTGCAAAATTATTCTTTATCGATTCCTTTTAAAATTGCTAAAATGAAAATATCTGTCTTCAATCCATTCAAAAAGATTAAAACCATTTTAAAATCAATGTATATTGAAAGTTACAAGCAGAATAAAGCTTTGGTCTAAGTCATAAGTTCTTTTGTAAAACAGGCCCATGGTTCCAGGGCCATAAACAAGCTTACTTTTAATCTCAGTCTCCTTTTTACAAAAGAAATGAATAGTAGAAAGTGAGACTGAAATCAAGTGATCTCATTTTAAATTTTATGACCCCAGAGCTAACAGAGAAATCTATTTCCAAATTTATAAGTTGTTCTGTTCATTAACTGGTGAGATACACCACCATTTTGACAAGTGACTGTGGAACACTCTACTTCATTGACTGTTGACTGCTGGGACAGTCACAACCATTTTGGCTGCTGATCTGTGGGATACACCACCATTTTGGCTGTTGACTTGTAGGATACACCACCATTTTCACTGTTGGCTGCTGGGATACCTACCCTGATTGTCCATCTCTTCCTGGAGGATTTTCCTCATCTCCTTGTCCTCACAGATGTCGATGGCGAGATCTCCGTCATTGTTCACAGCAGCTACGTTAGCCTTCTGTTCCAGCAGATATCTACAACAGGACTCACAGATATCAGACAACGATGTCACAAGGATTTATATTATTGTTAGCTTTGAAGTTAAAAAGCCTTCAGACTTTCACAGAATGATGTCTAAATAAATTGCTCTTAATGAATTTTTATCAATAAAATTGTTGAGAGATCAAAAGATGATTTGCACACTAGAGTACAGAGTTTAAAATACAACTTCTCTATGTTGTTATAATTAGATTATTTAAATCACAATCCTGTCCTATCAGAATCACCTGGCGATTTCTGTAAATCCACACGACGCTGTGGCGTGAAGCGGCGTCCAGCCCTCATTATCACATACATCCACATCGGCTCCATTCTCCACCAAAAACTCCACCATAGACTGATTGTCATCTATACAGGCCTGGAATTATACAAGTAACTCAGTGTTAAATAGAGAAAAAACTCCACTATAGACTGATTGTCATCTATACATGCCTGGAATTAAACAAGTAGCTCAGTGTTAAATAAATAGAGTAAAAACTCCACTATAGACTAATTGTCATCTGTACAGGCCTAGAATTAAAAATGCAACTCTATGTTATATAAATAGAGCTAATATATGATAGGAACACAGATGTACAACTTTTTAGTTTATTTTGTGGTATTTACCAATGTAAAAGGATTATTTGATACCTTGTACAATTTTTTCCTTAAAGTGGACAGGAATCTTCAATTTTTTTTCTTTTTTATTAAACTAATTTTTTTTTTCTTTATTTGTAAGACTCTGGAATTTTTGTTGATGTTGTTTTTGTGAAGTAGATTCTCTATATATAATACATCTATCAATGTTTCATGTAACAGTTGACAATAAACAGGTGGGAGATAATACATAAATACATGTACAAACCAATGAAGCACTGATCATGCTGAATCTGCAATGTTATTCAAAATACCAGATTGTTCTTATCTATGATCATATAATTGTCTGATTTAATAATATCCACAAGTTGGGGGTATTCACTTTTATATAGGTATATACACCTTCCTAATAGTCTTTCTACCATTATCATGATTACTGAATAAAATGCTGTTTAATTAAGTTTTATTACTACAGGTGAAATAGCAAAGAGAACAAAAATAAAAACAAGAGACTCTGTTCCATTTGATACAACCCAGCTGAGGCAGCACAGAGAGAGAGGTACGACAGGTACCCTCTGATTTGTACCATACAACACGGAGATAATTGGGGGGTAATCAAACTCGGCTATTACACAGCAATAGTAAAATAACACCCCTCTGATGCTCCCCCATGGGGGGAATATTATATCACAATCACTGGTTCGCCTTGCCTAACACATACTGTAATAATTATATTGTTTTGAAATGATAATTCCTGGTTAAAGTTTAGAATTTATTCAAGTCCAAAAGTACAAAATCAAAATTTACATTTTTACACAAAAATTCCTAAAGTGAGAGTGAATTACAAATAAACTCAGGCATGTCTCATCTTTGAAAACTCCTCCCACATTTCATAAATGAACCAATGAAACAAGTTAAAAGACAGTAGTAAAGTTTGGGGAAAGCTCAATGACATTAATTTATAACACAGGAAACAATTTGAGTAAGCATAACAAATTCAAAGAAACACCAGTCTAAGATCTGACCATAAACCTGATAACAATTATGAGCTAATAGCATCGATACCGTGGGATGGAGAGAGAGATGTCAAGTTTGAGAAATTACAAACACATGCAGCAATGCTCTTTCTGAAGATCAAATAAAACAATTAATTTTCAATTACAAATTCCCAGTACATCAATTATAATATTTAAACAATACCTAAATCATAAGTACATCTAAGAAACTAACAAATTGTCTTTATCAAAAATATGAATTTATACGCATGTATATAACATCCGCCCCCTAAAAAAATTGGCATACAATTTTAAACATTAAACGATAAAGACAATCATAAAATACGCACACAAAAGAAATGTTACACAAAATGATAATGAAGAAAATATAATACATGTACAAGAAGAAAAATACATTCTAGTGATGAAATCAGAAGTGAATAAAATGTTTTCGAAGCATGTATACACCATTCATTGGTACCATCAAACATTCTCACATTCATACGAACATAATATTCAAATCAGAGTGCATCATAAGAACTCATAACTTGCGCTGCAATGCATAGTAAAAAAAAATGTAAACAACAAATTATCGAATATGGTTGTTCAAAGTATAACCTGTATGGAATAACACATCCTCGGTTAGAATAAATCATACCACTTTCAAATAAAGATAAAACAATATTCAATTACGTAATTGCATAAGGTATAACCCTGTTGGAATAAAACATCCTTGGTTAGATATCAAACCAACACAAAATTTTTATGTTACACGATGTATGCCACAAATACTGCATACTAATACTATGTAGAATTGCATAAGGTATAACCCTGTCGGAATAAAACATCCTTGGTTAGAAAAGCAATTACAATATCAAACCAATACAAAATTTTCATATCACACGCTGTATGCCACAAATATCGCATACTAGTAATTCCTACCTTCTCAATTTCTACCGTTTTCAACAATATGTATAAGCTGTAATACTTGTGGAATAAAACATCCGTAATTACATAAACATACATATGAAACACTGTAAATTAATACAGATCAAAAAGTATCAAACAAAGTTATACACATATATTTACAAAAAGGGATCATGCCTCATATCAAGCATGTCATCGCTTTATGCAACACTCATAACATTGTTACCGTACTGGCGCTTACTTTCAAGCTGTACATTATAACAAAGTTGCAAAAGAAACGATATATGACATCCTGATAAAAAAAAAAAACGTATCAACTCCAGGCATCATTACGCCTCAGAAGTATACAAACTATCTCTCACAACAGCTACTTCACATTGGTAGCTCAAATTGTGACCAATACCCATTAGTAATTAGCACTACGAGAAATGTGTACTAAGCTCTTGCAGTTAAAAAAACTTAAGCAAAATAGACACACTCGTACCAACGCATAATTATAATGATATTAAAAACAAAACACACCAATAGCACATCGATATCGCAAATCGTAATAAACAACAAAAAAAACTACTTTCATGCAACTGTAAGGAATATACAGGTCTATGTGAAAAGTACTAAAATAACTAACTTGTCGCATGCATTAACATATGTACATCTCAGAATCATTGCTTTTAAACAAAAAAAAAAAAAACTTTAACAGTCAATTAAGAGCGATGGGACAGCTTCACTGACTTTGGCATGGCGTGAATTTACGCAAGAAACCGCTGCAGGTACGGCCAGCTCTTGACTCCCTGTGGCTCGACCTTCGGTATTAGAGGAATTAAGTCCTGTAGGTAACGAACGATTTCCAAACATCGTGTTTCTTATAATTAGGTTTAGAAAATGGTTGGGTGGATAGTCATTTTGAAGAACGGGGAACGTTTCGGTCCCGGATCCATTGGTACAATTTGCACGATCCTGCGGTAAATCCTCATCAAGGGAACGAAACGAAAAGTGCAAGGATACGGGGACATGCATATCGACCACGACTGAGCACAGAAATTCAGCAAATGGTTGGACAGTCATTTTTGAGAACAGGGAAAGCTTCGAAGTCGGGGCCTGGTCCATTTACATCATCCTGTTGGGAATCCTCATCCACGGAACGAAAGGAAAAATATGTGGATAGTGGGACATAAATACTGAACATGACTGAGCACATAAGTTCAGAAAATGCGGGTTGTAGCGCTTCTGTAAAACTGAATTTTACAATTTCCCCATGAATCTCGGCACCACTATAAATTGGTAAAATCTCCGAGAATCGAATAATCCAATGAAGATGATGAACGATGTTGAGTTGGTTTATCTCCAAAGTTTCCTGACATTTTCAGTAATATTTGAATAAAGTGAACACAATCCAAAATGTTCAAAGTTTTTATACAGGATACCGTCGTCCAAAAAATTTAGATTCTCCACCATGTAATAATTATATTGTTTTGAAATGATAATTCCTGGTTAAAGTTTAGAATTTATTCAAGTCCAAAAGTACAAAATCAAAATTTACATTTTTACACAAAAATTCCTAAAGTGAGAGTGAATTACAAATAAACTCAGGCATGTCTCATCTTTGAAAACTCCTCCCACATTTCATAAATGAACCAATGAAACAAGTTAAAAGACAGTAGTAAAGTTTGGGGAAAGCTCAATGACATTAATTTATAACACAGGAAACAATTTGAGTAAGCATAACAAATTCAAAGAAACACCAGTCTAAGATCTGACCATAAACCTGATAACAATTATGAGCTAATAGCATCGATACTGTGGGATGGAGAGAGAGATGTCAAGTTTGAGAAATTACAAACACGTGCAGCAATGCTCTTTCTGAAGATCAAATAAAACAATTAATTTTCAATTACAAATTCCCAGTACATCAATTATAATATTTAAACAATACCTAAATCATAAGTACATCTAAGAAACTAACAAATTGTCTTTATCAAAAATATGAATTTATACGCATGTATATAACAATACACAGACATTCCACTCAGCTACAGACCAGCCTGTTATCATACTGGAATGTATAAACAATAACTCCCCATAAGTGTTTCTTCTGCCTCCTCAGAATGGAGATGATGGGGGCTTGTTAATCACTTGAGAATACACTTTGTACAATAGGGATATAGACATCACGCACATGAATTTCACATTATCACATTTTTTTTTAAAAAGTACAACATGAACTGTACTGGGGGTTTAAAAATCTTAAAGGATTCTGATGATGAATCATAAAACCTGTGTCACAAAGGGCACCGAGCAACCTTCCTAATGAGTTACAAATGTACAATTTAGCATTTATAATTTAAATGCCAGAAAAAAACCAAAAGAGGTAAATTACTGCTCATCAAATGTAAAATATTATATCCACATAAACTAAATTTTTAGCATATGTTAAGTGTTTTCTCATTTAAAGCTATGATTTTGTGAAGTTTGCCTAATAATTCCAAATTTTACTCTTTGCCATAACTTTTCAAAAAAAAAAATTTCTATGTACCCAAATAAATTTTTTGTAAACGTAAGTCTAATCAACTGTGTTTCAAGCTATCCATAAGATTTAGTGCACCCTATACAATGCATTGTGACATCATGCTATTAGCTTTATATATATGATCGAGAAACTGTGCATTGTGACATCACATTCTTTTTTTCCCCCAGCACAAGTCGGGTGTATGAAAATTGCACTTGACTTTTAACCAATCAGAGCTTGTGATAAAAAGCTACATACTATAGGAATTAAATATATATATACAGCTGTATATACTAGATGACTAGATGCACTACTAATTGACGTAGGCAATATAAATCAATCATGAAAATCTTTTAATCAACCATTTTTGTGCATTTTCACAACAAATTTAATAAATGGGGGATAATTGCAATAATGTATACTAAACATGTAAAGTGGCATAAAGAAACATGAAGAGGTGTACATTTATAATGTAAATCACAGACACAATATTAACAACATATCTGAGTGTTGATTTTATGGGGAAAATGCATGTCATTGCGCTTTCAAATTTCTAACTGGCACTGTATTTAAGATTTCATAATGTTGCGGGAAAGGAGAAAAATGCAGCGGACTTGAATCTCCAGTGAGGTGCTCTACTTGACTACCAGAGATCAAACCCGGCTGACCACTACATTCGTCCCTCTTTAAATAAAGGTCTTCGGCCCTCCAAAGAACCCAACCCAGGCTCATCTCTGGCAGGCCTCACACCTGTCAGTCCAAGGGCATGGCATGACACACTGTGTAACAGGAAAGGAGGAAAATGCAGCAGATCAGACTGGGATTTGAACCCAGGCCCCGAATCTCTAGCCAAGCGTTCATCTAACTGAGCTATCTGGCCACCGGTAATCGAACCCAGCTGACCGCCACAAGTAATTGAAATGGTCAATATACATAATGGCCTTTTGAAAGGGAAAACCACTGACTGATATTTATAATTATATTGCAGTTGATACAGCAAAGATACTTTCAAATGTGCATTCATCTTCAACCATCTTTATAATATCATTTGACATTCTCAACCAAAAATTTGAGAAAATCAAGGTCTTTCATACAGGAGATTAATAATGATTTAACTTCTACAACAATATAAGATATATATTACATGTAAATATTCCAAGGTTTATTCCTCATGAAAACAAACAGCGAATCACCTATGATATATCTGCCAAGAACAAGGTATAATTTCCTTATTTTAGCTGACCCGAGCAAAAGTTATTGTTTACTATATAATTAGGCATTATAAATAAAGGGAAATTCTTACTTCTAAACTTTTCTCCACCTCTGAATACAGGTAAATCAAATCACTGGGTCATATGTAAATCTTAGTAAATGAATATTGAGACACCTAATATTCTCAAGCATGGTCATTTATTTTATGAGCATTTTTTTCTTTTTAAACAAAAATAATATTACTGGAGTTAATCTCTTGTGTGCCCATCTCTTACGAAGAGAGATATTGATCACAATCTGAACTAGTTCTTCATTAGCATGATTAGTGGAAGAAAAAGAAGCAATATCAGGGTTCGACATTCGTCAAAATTTGGTCTCGCCATTTGGGCAACCTTGGTATGATCACAGGTTGCCCGAATGAATTTCAGGTCGTCCAAATAAAATATCAAATGAAACAAAACTTAATGTGCAATTGTTTAAAATTTGTTAAGATAATTAACAAAAGTTGTGTTTTTGTAATAAAAAATTTAAACCAGAGATTTTTGGAATATAACGATGTCTTCCAGTATTTTGTCAAACAAAAATATATTAAGCAAAATCTGACATGCAGAATGCTAAAGTTTGTAGTTTAAAACATTCATTTTCACTTACCATGAAGGCCTAAAAAAAATTATAGGGTCAAATAACCCTGGACTGAATTAACCAGGTGTTATATAACAGTTGACACCCAACACGGCTCTCTAGCAGCAGAAAACAATCATCAGATGATCAGAAAGTTGTACGGGAAATGCAAGATGTTACAATGATGATTATTACTCTTTATATTTAAGGTGATTGTTGACATATTTTATATCTCAAATAAAACTTTATTAAAGACTTTTGGTAAAAATTGCATTGGCTGATTGATCGAATGCAGATTTGGCAGGAAGAAAAATCTAAGCGGCTGCAATTTGAACATGTTGAATGGGTTGGTTTTGTTACAGAAAAATATGTTTTCAAGGCCTCATGAAGTTTATTTTAAAATATTAAACATCATTATTAAATATTCCCAACTTGTCCCAGGTCGTCATTTGGGCAAGCCAGACTGATAATCAAGTCGTCCGAAATCATTTCTGGATGGAAATGACGAGGTGACGAGCGCGAATGTCGAACCCTGTTGTATAAATTTGTTTGAGCTGATAATGTCAAGCATTCACTGAAGAAAATTAATATACTCTCGGGTTTGAGTATAGCTATTTAGTTGCATGATTTGTTCAGTTTTTCATAATACTCATTCTCTCAAAGTCAAGTACACACAACTAAGTGAATCTTAAAATCAAGAATTTCTGCATGTTCTACAGGTGCAAAATGTCAAATTCTGTCAACAAGGGGCAGAGAACTCATGCAATAAATGCAGCATCACTGAGAATAAATGCTGTATTCTAGGAAATTATCAAATGGAATAGCTTCTGATATCTCAACTTGACTTGTGGACAGTGATATCTACCTGATGTAAGGCTGTTAAACCGTCCACATTGGCAGTGTTTATATCTGCCCCTCTTCTCAGAAGTCTTGCAACTTCTTCAGTGTCCCCACTTGAACATGCAGCTAAAAATACACATCCATCTTGAAATTTAACTTTTCTAGGTTTGTCTCTCGGTGTATCTGCAGCCTTATTTGTTTCCGATTCACCCCAACGCTTTAATTGTTCGTGCCTTTTGAGTAAGGCACTTGTCTGCTTCATTTCGTCCGCCATGACAGCTGCGCCACTGAATACACACAAATCTCGCGTTATCTCGCTGCTTCACGTTCAGCCCAAAATGGCCTCCAAAAACATTGGGAACATTTTTCGCACAAAATTGTTTCCTTTCAATATCAAGTCTTCTGTGGTGCACCAAAGTCAACGCTGTACCATTTACAGTAGAATTACCGAGGATGCTGAAGGTAATTTATATTCATTATCAATTGATTTAATAAAATACTACCAAAACTTTACATTTTAAAATTAGTTATATCGAGGAAACTCGGATGACCATAGCATTCAGTAGCTAATACTGCTGATAGTGAAGGGTAGTTGTACATGGGACTAGAAATTAGGGGGGATGGTGGATTTTTCTGAAGGAAAATTAATAAATTAATATAAAAATCCGTTAAACAAAAATAATTACTTTTTGAATTTTCATATAATAAACATATGTACATGGTGTGCAGCATTGTCAAATCTGAAATGGACAACACACATAAATCAGAGTACTCTGGAGTGCAGAGAGCAGGACATATATTTACAAGTATACAGGTGTTGAACTTGGAGTAGAGGGAAATAGTCAATCTGTTTGACCGAAGTGCAAGCTGTTTCCGATAAAAGGCCATTAATAGTGTAACGGGAGAGGAGAAAATGCAGCGGACCAGAACGGGATTCGAACCCGGGCCCCCTGAAACTCCGGTCAGGTGCTCTACCAACTGAGCTAACTGGCCACTGGCGATCAACCCAGCTGACCGCCACGATAGAATAATATAACTGTGTCTCAGGACAAGCCCTCACAATCTGGTCTGTAAGACATTTTATCATTTTAATGATAGAATATTCTATCTAACCAATTAGGGGTCATGTCAGGCTACATTACATATATCTCTAGTTATTAAATTTGGGAATGTAAACATGGTAAAGTTAGGAATATTACATGTATATTTCGTAAGTTTCATTCATTTGTATTTTATTTTTCATACAGATGAAGAATTTAAAGTTTTAAACATTTTAAGAAACAAAGAAGAGGATGACTTTTTCATCAAGGTAAGAACAAAAAAAAATTAATAAATTATGATCATAGAAAATATTATGTATGTTTTATTTAAAATTTAAGTTGATTCAAGAGGAACAATCAACATGACTTTTATTTATATAAAATTAATTATACCTCTCCACTCACATGGAGTAATTAATGTTTTACAAAGATGTGAATTGAAATGGAAAAATTTTCTGTTTGAATGGAAAGTTTTGAGCTTTATTTAGCATGCTATTTGTTACAAAATGACTTCCCATTACTTTAAAAACTCGAGCAAACATTAAAATTATTATGATTTATGAAATAAATAAGATCATGTATGTAGAGTAAAAAAGAAGCACTCTTGCAAGCATGTTTCTTTTTTAGCATTCATTTATAGCTAAACTGTATCAATTAAGACAAAAAACCTAGATGTAAGTGACCTCATTCGAGTCATTGATTCATTGACAAGTAGAAATTAAAGATATCAATAAAGGCTACTTTTATTTGCAATATTAAGTTTTTCATATATTTTTTTATTGTTGAAAAAAAATATTAGAAGGAAGTAGAGAAGAAACGTAACATTACCCGAGCAGACTGTATGCAGACTGACCAGGATTGGACGGATGTTTGGGCAACGAAGGCTCCATTCCGTTACGGCTCGGTGCCTCTACCAGTCAGACAGGGTTATAGAAAGGTAAGGCGTCATGTCGAAGAAAACTTTAGTCTGTCAATAGGATATTTTAATCTTCTTCTGTTTTTGTCATTGTAATTTTAGTTTTAGCTCAGAAGTTTATAATTGAAAATATTTCTCAATTACATGATTTCATGAAAATTGAAGAACAAGATTTGTAGAATAATTTTTAAAAACAGTTTAATAGCAATATTATTATATGTTTCATGTAAGCACCATTAGGTAAATCACATACCCTGACATTTATTTAACGTGACTGTACATATATTTCTATCAATTTAGCAATATTTCTAAAAATATTGTAGATGTAATAGTCTTTCATCTGTTCTTGTGCCTGTATTACCTTTGTAGAGAGAAAATCGTTTAACTCCAGGAAAATACGGCAACACAGAATTAATGAAGATCCCCAACTTTCTACATCTGACACCTCCCCATATCAAGAAGCACTGCCAGGCCATTAAAAGTAGGTTCTAACTGTAGCGATTGTATACCGCAGATATAAATATGCACTCTTGTAAGAGTTATCTCTCTTTTTGCCTACTCTGGTATATTTTAATGTACACATGGTGTCAGATAGAATGTCTGTTGATTTTTTTTTAGAATTTTGCACAGAATTTCCAGAGGAACTGAAGAATCAAGAGATACGAAAGGTCAATTTTCCCATTGAGGTCGTGACCTCTGATTATGTGACCTGTGGCACATCAATAAGAGATTCAAGGTCACGGGAGGTCACAGTCAATGTAAGTTTATTCAATTTTATTGAAAATAAAAGTGAGTTGATGAAAGTTAAACTTATTATTTAAGAATTAAGATCTGAAAAATATTGAGGTAGAAAATTACAGAACTTCATTGAAAACATTTATATTATTATGTCCCCTTTTGAAGAGAATTTTCTTCCCTAGAAATGTACAGCACTTTTTTATGCAGAGACATCCTCAGATTTTATACAAATCAAAAACCACCTTGTGGTAGGGTGGGGCTACAAGGGGTAATCAATTTTTTTTCAGTTATACATGTATGTAGGAAAACATTCTTCGTTCGTTTTATTCACAGTCTACAAATACATGTATTTTAAATAAAGATTGAAACTTAGGCCAAAAAAAAAATACCTGTGTTTCCGGTTTCCCGACCGACCCTAATTTTACACGCCGACCCTAGCACTTTTTATTGCAAATCCGGATTACGTACCGTAATTTGTTCTAAAACTACAGTCTTCAAAACGCGCGCAGTTAAAAAGGCACTTGTAACAAATAAATAAAAACGTCTTTTCAAGCATTTTAAGATTATACATGCGTATATAATAGCTCTTTTCCCCTTAGATTGTTCCCTCCTTTACCCTTTAATGACGACTTTTGACACTTAGCATCCAACCTTTAATAAGACTTTTGACCACATGTTGACACGTGTGTATATTTTTATTGTTGATTTGACTTGAAATTACCGCTTGTTTATAAAATTATCAGAGCACAGGCGGCCACCTGCAGGTTAACAACAGATGACTGCATCATACTACAGTTGGAAATCACATGATTTACTTGTGTTAAAAAACATAAGAATCTCGGAAAGTTCCACCAAAATTCAAAATGGCGGACTGTTACTTACGATGTTTTCAGAGCATATAACTCAGTCAATACGCAATATTTTCTCATCCAGTAAAGCATTACATGAATTTCAAGCTATCAACTACATATTTCTGGAAAGGTTTGATAATTATAATGATCTTTACGTGTAAAATACTTCAATATAAGATACGAAAATTTTGTGAACGTCGGGACCGCGCAGTGCCGATTTCGTTACCTGTTTCTCAGAAATTCAGAGGATATCTTCCATTTTACACATATTTATAAATGTAAAGGTGTAGAAAATAATTATTTCAATAGAATTTGATCATTAAAATATTCAAAAACGTTTAGAAATCAAGTTTTATCAAGCAAGTTTGAAAATTTGTTGTCAAGATTGACATTGATTTCTGAGGAATCAAACTTATAAAATGGATAATAAATAATAATTTAACCATTAATTATATCATCACACATAAATTTCATAGTTTTTAAAGACAATTTTGGCATATTTGTTTAAAATATCTATTTTGCGATTTACACCTGCCTTCACCTGAATTATTTATTTATAGAAAATTACAAAAAAAATTCTGTAAATAGATAAGAAAAATTTTATTTATTATGAATCCAATGATATTTAATACATAGCATAAAAGAAATATTTTGACCCATATTAGCATGATTAGTTCAGTTTTAAAATCCACTCCAATTCATTTAAAGCAATGTAAGGGGCAGCCTCTGGACAAACACTTCAAGGATATGGCTAGTGTGTCAAATTGTGGCCCCAGATGTATTGCATCACTTATTTTATATGTGCATCAATTAACTCTAAGTACATCACATGTTGTCATTGGGTTTAAGCTCAAGAAATGTCCACACGTATACGAAATTAATGCAATATATAACTTTCTTTGGTACTGGACTATGGGAAATTTATTTGGAGATGATCATAATTTTGAAGCCAACTTTGGCGGTTTAACTCTGACATTATTGGCCTTGAAAGAAATGGATATTAATATGTCTTTACATGTAATGACAATGAGGTCAAGGTAGAAGTATAGGCCTGAAAAACAATCTTGAATTCTTTATTTTACTTTTTTAGTTAAATTTGACAAAATTTCTTTATCAAATTGTGATAAAAATTCAAATGTATTTTTCTGTAAATCAATTTCTTGCAATTGGTTCTGCTATCTACCTTTAGAAAACAAAATATTACTTGTTAATATTTGATATCATATATATTTTACCTAAAAAACAGTCAAATATAATGTTCGGTTAAAATAAAAAGTAAAAGTAAAAAAAAAAGTAATTGCCTACCTACCTACCCTAATTTTGAGGGACATGATACCGGAAACACACATATTTTTTTTTTTGGCCTTATCTGATTGGACTTCATGGATCTTGCTGCGAGTTTTAACATTTTATTTTTTTTTTTTTTCAATTCACCAGGTTAATTTATCTGTTTTAAAAATGAATGAACACACATCCATCAAAATGAAGAAGCTGGCTGGAGACAAATTTGACCAAGAAGCTCAGACATTACAACTGAAATCTGACAGGTAAATGGGTCAGATATTTAATTATACATGTTTAGTCTTTAGAATTTGTTATGTGACTACTAAATGTTTATTAGATTAAGGTCTTCAAGTCTAAAAATACTGTAACTTATGTTTTTGAAAATTGTGAAATCACAAAATTTATTCTAGGTTATCAATCTACAAAACATTTTTCTTCAATTCCTTGGGTGAAATAAAATTTTTAGTACATACAAGTAAAAATGTCTCATCGACTTTTGTTCAGTCATTCCATGTTACATGTGTAATTTCAATATTTCCCCATCTTATTTTTTATAGCAGTATTTCATATTTTGTCCAGCAAGTACATAACTCCTCCCTTTGTTGACAGTGACCGAATATACATGTAGAGGTGTAAATTGTGAATATCTCATCAATGTTTGTTTTTTAGGTGTCCACTTCGGAAACAGAATTATGACCTTAACATTTACACACTGACAGCTCTGTATTACGAGTCTAATGTAAGTATAAAGAGAGAAGTCTTAAAACAATTCATCATGATGTTTGGAATCATTTTTGGTCACATTAGGCCTAGATAAATAAATAGTGTGTTTCATCTATTGAATCTAGAATATTGGAGCTGACCCAGCATGCTTACCAAAAAATGTTAACCCTTGTCCTGCCAGGGATTCTATAGATAACAGCATCTCTGAGTGCCGAGCTGATAAGGAGCTCCAGCCGCTGACTGTGCCACGCTGATTTATAAATTTCTCTCAAATTGCATATGCAGTAGATTATCTTAATTATCACCAATTTATAACTGAATTTCCTGATAACAATCTACACAACTTTTTTCCATAAAAAACAAAAGAAGAGAATTGTGAAGAAATTTTTTTAATATTTCAACTCAGTAAAAAACTACAAAAGCTTAAAACTAAAATTTTACATTTAAAATATTTTAAATGAGAAATTATTGGTATTTTAATGTCAAATTTCATTTCAAATTAACTTTTCACAACTATTATATTGTAAGAGTCCTTTGTGTAACTACTGGCAATACTTTCAGATTTTTTAAACATAAAATTATGACTGCTACAAGTCCTTTTTTGACACCCGTTTTATGGACATGGAAATCCGATTTTGTGGCTCCATTTCTTTCTTGAATATATCTGCCGTAAAGTTTTTTTTTAACCAAAACGTCTTCAAAACAGGTATTAGAAATATTAAACTTGAGTTGTCAATCATTGTGCGATCATTGGAGCACAGTTGTATCGATTTTTTTCACCTTTGAAACTGGTGACGCGCATCAATGCTTTTAGATCCACGCGTCCTCGAAAAAGTCATTGCTCCAACGTAATATTCATATCCATGGAATCAAATCATTAGAATTCTTCATCGGAAGCTCAATTTAGATATATTTTACCAAATAAAACATTTATATCTGCCTGCTATTACTGTAAAAGCTTATTTCAATCGAGCATCTTCTCCGCGACCTCCATCTTGTTTTCAAACTTTCCCCAAAGCATGCGATCATCGTGTTTCTTTTTCTAAGAATACATAAGGGAATTTCCCATCAAGAGCCAATCATATCATTAAACTACTGGAAAATCTATCTATTTTTAGTATATAACTTTGAAATGAATGGATTCCCTTTATTTCATTGGTTAAA